CTTTTTCAAAATAGAATCAACATATATATATTTTGGTATCTTGGGAATGTAAGAAAGTCGATATTTTATAAAATTGGAGAAAACGTGGTATGTCTATTATGTTCATGCTGAATAAATGAATCATTTTTTTGTAAGCAAGCAAGTATGTTTGAAATATACAGCATTAAAGACCTACCATGTGCTCCTATTTCACAAAATTATACATTCTTTAAACACCTGACATGCATTTTACATACAAACACTTTTGATTCAGGAAAATACTATGAACAAGATATTTGATAGCTTTACAAGTGTCTATGTAAACTACAGAATGCCTTTTGCGTAAAAGCATTTTACTAAGCACTCATAGATATAATTTTATCTATTGGTGAGGTCCATCGACAACATCTTGTGGAGTTTTTAATGATTTGCAGAAAGCAAATCATTAAAAACTCCACAAGATGTTGTTTAAATCATATCGCTTAAACCATTTTCAATTAGTTCTTATATCCAGTTTTTCTTGGCTGTTTTATATATTTAAGTTCTATTTTGCAATCGTAAAAGGCCACACACACTAAAAAAGCTGTTGCTTTAATTGAGATGATTTTCAGAATGATTTTTATTTATTAACTACTTTGAAATTCATTTTTGTAATCAAAATTCAAGTAAAAAAATACTTATAATTGTGATTGCAAAATAAAACTTGATTTCTTAATTAATAAAAAATGCTTATTAAAAAAAGTTATTTACAAATGAGTTGCTTCCTTCCAAAACAACCCTAATAAACAGTATGCTGTCTTAACTGAGGGTTAATGGAGAGAAGTTATGCCAACCACAAACAATGTTTTAAACATTTAAAAAAAAAAAAGAAATACTCAAAAGACACAATGCTGTAAAAAATTATTTTGACAACATAGTGTATCTTTTAAAAAGCTATAAAAACAAGTGACTAAACTAAAACTATCCATATTCTAAAAAAATTTTTTTTTAATTAAATTTTCCAAATATACTAGTATATTTGCAAAATTTAATTATAAAAAAATTTTTTTACTAACTTATTAAATTTACTAACTAACTAAATTTTTTACTAACTTATTAAATTTACTAACTTATTAAATTTATTAACTACAGTATACTGTAGTTAATGTAATTAGTTCTTAACAAGTTCTTAAATTTTTAAGGTTTGTAATTCTTAACTGTGGATTTAAAACTGAAAGATTAGGTAGGAAAATGTATTTGAGTTTTAAAGAAATAAGGAAAATTAGGAACTGATAAAAAAAAGAGACAAAAATTCAATGATTAAGAAACAGATTTCAAATTTCATTTTTATGATCCACAGCCGCACATAATCCAATACAAATGAATTTGTATAGAATTATGATCCACAGCCACACATAATCCAATACAAATGAATTTGTATAGAATTATGATCCACAGCCACACATAATCCAATACAAATGAGTTTGTATAGAATTATGATCCACAGCCGCACATAATCCAATACAAATGAATTTGTATAGAATTATGATCCACAGCCGCACATAATCCAATACAAATGAATTTGTATAGAATTATGATCCACAGCCGCACATAATCCAATACAAATGAATTTGTATAGAATTATGATCCACAGCCACACATAATCCAATACAAATGAATTTGTATAGAATTATGATCCACAGCCACACATAATCCAATACAAATGAATTTGTATAGAATTATGATCCACAGCCACACATAATCCAATACAAATGAGTTTGTATAGAATTATGATCCACAGCCACACATAATCCAATACAAATGAATTTGTATAGAATTATGATCCACAGCCGCACATAATCCAATACAAATGAATTTGTATAGAACTATGATCCACAGCCACACATAATCCAATACAAATGAATTTGTATAGAATTATGATCCACAGCCACACATAATCCAATACAAATGAATTTGTATAGAATTATGATCCACAGCCACACATAATCCAATACAAATGAATTTGTATAGAATTATGATCCACAGCCGCACATAATCCAATACAAATGAATTTGTATAGAATTATGATCCACAGCCGAATTATGGGGATTTATGATCCACAGCCGCACATAATCCAATACAAATGAATTTGTATAGAATTATGGGGATTTGTGGATCATAAGAATGAAATTTTTTCAAGGGTTACGGTTTCCTTTTTTGTAAACAAAAAAGAAACAGGAATTGAAAACTTACTGGAATCCCTCCTCCAATAATGCGACTCCATTCTTTGGGATGAATCAATATGCGCCATGACCTTGGATATGGTGTTGTTGTTGGTGATATTATGAGGTTTAAGACCGATTTTTTCATCGCATTTACTATGGTTTTCTGTTTCAGATAAAAATTTTGCAATGCCTCTACTACTCGATGACCGAATGAGTATGTGCCACAGAAGAATTTCAAGCAGACTCTTTTTACAACCAACAGTCTTTAAATAATACTCTTTTCATATTGTCTTTTCTCTTTTAGTCCCAGTGCGCTGACGCGCAACTGAGACTGTTATTATTAAAGATGCCTTGTCTTGCTTTTGTTAATTGGAATCATTTTATATACGAATATTTATTTGCATTTCATACTAAAAGTTTTCATTGCATTTAAATCTAAAACCAAGATACAATATTCGAAAATAATCTACAAAACAACGACAAACACAAATTATTTGTTATTAACAATTAGAAAATTTTTACTTATTGCAATCTATCTTTAAAGGTATTTTTTCTGGGATAGTCTTGCCACTTCTGTTAATATATTCCTCTCTTCTAATACGTTTATTTATACATATAGTTCTTTTGTTTTTACATTTTTGCCTTTTGATTTCTGTGAAAAAAAGGTTGTAATAAGTTTATTGAACATGGTTGTGTATTATAATAAACACACATTTTTTTTTATACAACAAATATTATTTATGCAAAAAAAATATAACTTAAAAACTTCTTTTACCGGGGTTTGAGTTTAGTGATACAACTTTGGAGTTTCTTTTTTGATGACAAGAATTGGAAAATTCATCACTTAAACTATAGTTTACTGGAGGATCGGTATTATTTTAAATTATTACATATTTTTAAAAGACTACATAAAAATCAATACAATCTTTTGTAAATCATATGATGGATAATGATTAGGTTAGATTACACTACTCACTAAAAATATCTATAGATAACATTTTGCAAGATTGTTCTTGCACTTTATCATTGGCCACTACGTCATTAATTACATACGAATCAATCAACACAATATCTGCACCACGTGTTTTGTAGAAGGTTCTGGAAGAATCGTATTATATGTAGGAATGTTCAGATACTAAATTGAATCAAACATGATTTGATTAGACATTTTTGGCGCTTCAACTAATCAAGAAACTAAAAATGCGAATGTGGCAATGACACTTTTAATGTTTGTGTATACATTTTTTTTTCGGTTTTGTTCTTGACACGTATTGTCAATTAGGAAGCTCATAACAATTTATTGTGCACTTACCATATTTGAGCACAATAATGTTTGAAAAAGTACAGCAATTTTTGTGTAATTGTGTAATTTTGCTTTATTGTATATATATATATATATATATATATATATATATATATATATATATATATATATATATATATATATATATATATATATATATATATATATATATATATATATATATATATATATATATATATATATATTATTTTGTTTTATTTTAAACCTTGTAAATGTAAAATCAGTTTATACTTACAATCACGAATTTTTAACGTCTTAATAAAATAGCACCAACAATGACAACATCAACAACATCAACAACAACAACGACAAAAACAAAATACACAGTAGCACTTATGCTGAGAAATGTGGGTATAGGGTCTAGACTCTTAATGTGTTTTTAAACGCTTTGAACCTTTTAAACCTACCCCAAAACTGGCAAAGACTGCGTTACTTCCAGGGACGTGGGGGGACTCAAATTCAGAACTTCTTGATTATAAGGTAAGTGCTTTACCACTATACCCTTACCACATAATATACCGCTTTACCATACATTATACTGCAGGTTGAAGTCAACAAATGACGACTTCGAAATAATTTTTTAATACATATTACATTCACGGTCTACTAAGTCAACTTAATTTACTTATATTTACTTATATTATTAATATACTTATATTTTACCTACATTTTTATAACGTGGAATAAATTAAATTTTTGCATACTCATAATTTTTTTTTTTTTTTAAGTTACTTTTTTACATAATTTTGTAAAATAGTGCTGAAAAAATTTTTCTCGCATTTTCCTCTCTTTAATGGATGCTGTACGGATTATTGTAATTACAAAGCTAATATTAGAAAGTTTTATAATTTACTGGTTTTCTTTTAAATAATTTTTTTGCTATATATTTATACAATAATGTACTCATATAACAAAGCAATTTTAATCCTCAAAAACTGTCGTATTTTACTTTAAAAAAAATCACAATTTAAAACCTTAGATTGAGCATAGATTCACTTTGTTTATAAACTGAACAAATTTTACTGGTGAATAGTGGTCAATAATACTTGTTATTTACAATTCAACATTAATGCAATCAGTAATGAAGAATCATAAGCGTTGCAGATCCCCATTACATGGTCGACGCCACGGGGGGGGGGGGGGAGAGGTTTAAGGGGACAAAGCTCTCCCCCGCTTTTTTTCTGAAGGACTTTTTTTATTTTTATTTTAATTTAGAAATTTCAAGATATAGAGGACTTTTTTTTGTAGAAATTGATTGTTGTGTTACTTTGCCCCTACTTTGAAACCCGTTACTTTGCCCCCTACTTTGAAACCCGTGTTGTATGTTTATTAGCTTTTTTTTCGGTTATAAATAAAAAATAGATTATATTTGAAAGTCATGCATATAAGATGAATCTTTATGTAGCTTAGATACTATGTAACGTAATTCGTTGTAAAATGTATTATGTTACACAAAAAATGCTACGCTTATCCATTGGTGTATTTGCCTTATACATTCATGACTTGCTTAGCGCGAAAAATCCTTATATATACAAATAAGTTTTGAAGATTGGCGAGGCAAGACTTATATTTACGACAAGTTTATGATTATCGGTGTTCGATTTCCGGTACGATTTTTTAAAAAGTATCGACTTAATAAATAGTTATAAAATGCGTATAACATTGTAAGATTTAGCACATGGTTAACTGTCAATGTTCGCCATAAACTCTTGTTAATAATCTTTTTTTTTTCAAAGTTATATGTTTATGCATGCATTACACTAAATATGGCTCAAGAAATAACAATCCGACTTATTCTTGTTGCAGTTGTATGTTTTGGAGGCTCTTCACTACAATTTGGATACAATCTAGCAGTTGTTAATGCACCAGAACCAGTAAGTGCAGCTAAATCAATTATTCTACGAACATTTTTCTCTGATAAATTAAACTATATAGTTACTTATAAACGAATTTTATTTTTATTATAAAGTTTTATAATTCGTTAAAAGCTTAAATATCATGTAAGTTACATAACCATTCATTATGTAACAAATTATTGAAAATGTTGTTGCTAAATATAAAATACCTTTATTAAAATCTTTAAATAATAATAAAATATCCGTTGAAAAAGTTGAAATTTAAAACATAAAGTTATTAAAATATTAAATAAATAAATTTTATAATATATAACAAATTTAGAATATTTTAAAAAGTATTTTTTTATAAATAAGTAATAAAATAAAATTATAAAAAGTGTGTGTATTTCATAATCTCTAATTAGAACAGTTGTTACCTATAAACATATCGTATGTTAATAGCTAACAAATAGTTAAATATATAACTTTTAGCATTTGAGATATTTAATGACATAAAAGATCATATTTAATAATGATATTAATAACTGTAATGATATTGTAAACTATAAAAGAGATGTTTCCTTTTTTATATTATGCTGATTATAATCTTTTATTAAATAAGTATTAAAGTTATAAATTTCTTTATGCAATAGAATATTTTTTTAATTTGTGCAACCAATTTTATATTTTAATACAATTTGAAATGGTTGTCATATAAGCTTTTATTATCTTTCTAAAAATTATAAAAATCAAATATGCTCAAATCTAGAGGTTATAGGTTATTAAGAAGCATCTCTGATAAAAAAGTCATAAAAAGAAAATGTGGGAATTATTATTTATTTGCTGTTTCTTCTATTACAACTTTAAATATATATACCAGTTAGGATATAATTTAGGAGTAGTAAATAATATTCATCCAGTAAGTATATTTCTTGACTGATACAACAGAAAATTAATAAATTTTTCTGTTGTATCAGTAATAAATTTTTCTCCTCTTTTCTCTTTTCTGTTGTATCTTATCTATTTCCTCTTTTCTGTTGTATCAATAATAAATTTTTCTCCTCTGACATTTTTATATATTTTTATAATTAAAAAAATTTATAACTATTTTTATTATTAAGTTCACTCATGCATGCAAAGAACTTGCAATGTTTTACTTTTTTAAAATTTTTTTAAAATTTTTTTAAAATTTTTTAAAAAACTATTTTTTTTAAATTAAAGCAAATTTTTAATTTTTTATTCTTATAAGTTGTTGATGTCAGTATAAAATATTTTTCATATTAAAGGTATTTTACAAACATTTTTTCTAAAAATCAAAAAAATATTTGCCATTTTTATTAGGAAGAACAAACGAACAAACAAAAAATTGACTAGATTCCTTTTTTTGTAATATTTTTGGCAATTAAAAGTTTGAATTTTTGGCTGCTGATTTCCTTATTATTATTATTGTTTAAGTTAAAAAAAAAAATCATTTTAAAAATAATTTATTTAATTAAAAATAAAATTTAAATCAAATATATATATATATATATATATATATATATATATATATATATATATATATATATATATATATATATATATATATATATATATATATATATATATGATGAGTCTATTGATGAAACACAGTTTTTGCTAGGTGATTTTCTACTACTGAATTTTAGTTGATGGAACTAGAGATGATAACTCCTTTGAGCAGTGACCATGATAGTATTTGTAGAAAAGAGAAAGAGATGCAACTTTACGACGATGGGAAAGAGGCTTAAGCTTAGCAGATAGTCCAGGTCCAACAACGTTTACAATGCGTTTTTGAACCTTGTCAAGAAGAGAAAGTGAATCGTTAGAAGAACCAGCCCAAATATGACAACAGTATTCCATACAGGGACGAATAAGAGATTTGTAGAGGTAGAGAATGGAATCAGAAGTAAGGAAATGACGAGCACGATAAAGAGAAGCAACCTTAGCAGAAGCTAATTTAGCAATCGATTGTATATATGGCCTCCATAAAAGGTCAGTAGTAAGCAATCTAAGAAGACGTAAAGAGGAGGACTCAGTAAGAGGATTGCCATTCATTAATATAGGAATGTTGACCATATTACGGTAGTTGTTTGCAGTAAACAACTGGGTTTTGTTAGAGTTGAAATTTACAAGCCACTGTGAATCCCAATCTATTACTGAAGTGAGATCGGATTCAAGATCAGCTGCTTGTTCTAGGCGATCGAAAAAGAGAAGACTTTTTGTCAAAAAAGTCATGAGTATAAAGTTGAGTCATCAGCAAAAAGAGCAACTTTAGATGAAAGGTTGTCAGGAAGATTGTTTATGTAGATAAGAAACAAAACAGGGCCCAGGATGGAACCTTGGGGAACCCCAGAAGTTACTGGAAATAAAGAAGAGTGTTGGCCTTCAAGGATGACTTTAATAAACCGGTTAGAAAGAAATGATTTGATAATCTCAAAAACTTTCCCAGAAACACCATAAGAAGCAAGCTTATGGAGAAGACCAGCATGCCAAACTTTGTCGAAAGCTTTAGATATGTCGAGAGCAATGCGTAGAAGGCGCATTTATCAGCTGAGAGAGAAAAAACATCAGCGCAAGGACCATCACAAAGAAAATCACAAAAAGAATCCCAGTCAGCTTTAGGGTAGTAGTAGGTGGTGCGATGATAAGGTGAGCCCAAAAAAGAAGTATGAGAAGAAAGATTTATAGAGATCATTGCATGGTCAGATCCACCTAAGGGAGAAAAGGGAGAAACTGAACATAAGCTAGGGTCAAAGACAAGACATAAGTCAAGGAGTGAAGGTAAATGATTAGGGTTGTCAGGAAAATGAGTCACAAAGTTAACTATCTGAGTAAGAGATTAAGAAATGCAGAAGTTAAAGGCTTTAGTGCCAGCAGGATCAGTGGTGTTAGAGCCAAGCCATTCAGTGTAATGGGCACTAAAATCACTACCAACAACAATGTTGGCTGAGGGGTAAAGAAAGAGGGCATGGTCAATTTGATCAGAGATAACATCTAAAAGAGTGCAATCATGGGAAGAAGGAGAATGATAAAGAATAAAGAGAAAGGTGATAGAGTGAAGAGGTGCTAGGCGAAAGCACATAAAAGAATGGTCACAGGATTCGAACCTGATTTCATGACAAATAGGGGAATTAATGCGTATGTATACCCCTAAACCTAGCATGTGACTATTGGAGTCTTTACGAATCAAAGGATAGTACCCACCAACACTGACATCTGAAGAAGGAATTGCAGAACTTAAATTTGTTTCACTGAGTGCAAGCAAGTCTGGTGAATTTTGCAGGAGGTAAGACTCAACTGACGGAAAGTTGCTTTGCAGACTGCGAATATTTGTAAAAGATATATTAAAACATTTAGGTGGTGGGGATGGTTTTTTAGGTTTAAAAAGTTTGGTTACTTTGGTCATGATTTGGGTTTAATGAGAACTTGACTCATTCATAGATAGAGCACAGCCTGCTAATCAATGAGCTATGCAGTTGTCTCAGTCCTGTTAATTAACCCTAAGCCGTGACATAGGGCTCCTTATGTGGCCTTGACAATGCACACCAAAAGCATTAACAGGGACACCATCCATGGCGCAACATCATGGCAAACATCATTAACAGGGACACCATCCATGGCGCAACATAGGGCTCCTTATGTGGCCTTGACAATGCACACCTAAAGCATTAACAGGGATACCAAACATGCCGCAACATCCATCCGCAACATGGCACTGTTAATACTCTGATATTTTGCAGCTGTTGATGGAGTCAGCCTCTCTGAGAGCTACCACAGAGTTCGGGAAACCTTATTACCAGCCGGCCTCAGAACCATTAAACTGAGTTTTAGAGCTGTACCCTCATATGGAGACAACAGAAAGAGTTGCATAGCCATTATCAAGGAGGCATAAGGAAAATTCTATGAGTAGAGTCAAGGAGATCCAGCATTCATCATCCTAGGCAGGAAATAATGTAACACAGGTTACATCTACGCCAGAATTTTTCTGCTTACCCCTAAAGTCTTTGCCTAGGAGGCTTTCTAACATCTGCCTAAGATGAGTATTTTTATCGAGACACCATCTCTAGCCTTTACTCAACCAAGAGCCCCAAGGCAGGGGATGTTTAGCTGGATGCAGTTAACATCTGCCCAAGATGAGTGTTTTTATCGAGACACCATCTCTAGCCTTTACTCAACCAAGAGCCCCAAGGCAAGGGAATTTTTAGTCGGAGTTTATTTCTCCTAGCCTTTGCCTAAGAAGAGCACACTATGCAAGGCAGCAGGGCTTGTGGCAGGTGGTACTGGGTTATGTGATATCATTAGCAAGATTGATCTTGATTATTCTGACCTGACCTGTAGTAGTTAAAAGGAGTTACTTACCGCAACAGTACTTTGAGAAAACCAGGTATGACATTTTTGCATAAGGAAAAACACTGCATCTAACAAAATACAGGAGTCTAAGGTGAGTGTAGGTTTTGTAGTTGGAGTAAGTAGCTAGTTACTGAGTTCACGCTGCATCAGAGAATAAACAGAACACAAACAAACATAAATCAACTTACGGGTGAATCAACACCGCTCCAGAGGTTCGGATAGAACATAAGCATATATAAAAAACAAAAAATACTTAAATACAAAACTTGGTTATATATTTGTTACAAGGATATGTTTGTAACTTTAATGTTACAAGAATATATACTTAACAAGCGTCATTTATTGTATTGTAAAAAAAATTCCTTAGACAAGCATTGTCTTTGAGTTTTCACATTAGCTATCCATTTATTTATTAATAATATTACTTATTTGATAAAAAATTGACAAAGAGCTTTAAAAGTTTTCACTGCTTATAAAGAATGTTTTATGTTTTCTTATTGTAACAGAATGTAGGCATTTTAAGAATTATTACAACAGTTAAAAATTCCACAATAAAAGTAAATAATTTATTAAAATGTAAAATATATAAATCGTTATATAAATTAGAAATTATTATGCAATATATTAGATTTTAATAGTTTTATATTTTATCGGTTAAATAATTTTAT